GGTCGATAACGTTTTCTTCCGATCACTCCACGACGCCGCAGCCGAACCTCGGACACCGTGCTGCTGTAAGGATCGCCGACGATCGCGTCACCCTGCCACCCCGCGCAAGCTTGATGATCGCCGTCTATTGTGAAGGTGCTGCTCCTGACGTCAACGCTATCGTGGAGACTGACCAAAGGTTGCTTCTAGACCGCGGTGTGTCTGTCGCAAGAGGCATTGCGCGGTTTAAGCAACGCAGATCCCACGTCACCAATTTCACCGAGGAGTACCAATTTCACCAATTTCACCGAGGAGTACCAGCATCTAAACAAGGGCGCTGCAATTGCGTTCCTCGAAGAAACGCGAGAAGCGAGTCAAGTGATCGCGGTCGCCACCTTTGAACGCGCACGCGCAGATGCTTCCAGGCTGCCACATCCTTTTGACGTGAACCCGGCGCTGTCGCAAGAAAATCGGGACAGATTACTGGAGTTGCTCCGTCGCTACAGCGAGTGTTTTTCCTCGAACTCGAAGTTACGTCAGACACCTTTGGCGAAGCACCGGATAATAACCGAAGATGGAGCCCGACCTACCAGACAGTCACCGTACCGCGTTTCTTCACACGAGCGCGAAGCCATCCGGACTCAAGTTGATGACATGCTCAGCGACGACATAATACAGCCATCAAAAAGTCCGTGGGCTGCGCCGGTTGTACTCGTGAAGAAAAAAGATGGCACTTTAAGATTCTGCGTTGACTACCGGAGACTAAACAAAATCACCAAAAAGGACGTGTATCCCCTGCCACGAATCGACGACGCCCTCGACCACCTCTGCCACGCCAAGTACTTCTCATCAATGGATCTGAAGATTGGCTACTGGCAAATTGAAGTGGACGAGAGAGACCGAGAGAAGACAGCATTTACAACCCCGGACGGTCTATACGAGTTCAAGGTGATGCCGTTTGGGCTGTGCACAGCGCCCGCAACGTTTCAGAGAGTCATGGACACTGTGCTAGCAGGCCTGAAGTGGCACACTTGCCTCGTATACCTCGACGACGTTGTCGTATTCGCCCGGACTTTCGACGAACACCTCACAAGGTTGGAATCTGTACTCGAGGCCACTCGTACGTCGGGGATAACGCTGAAGCCTGAGAAGTGCCGTTTCGCGTACGAGGAACTCAAGTTCTTGGGTCAAGTCGTGAACGCCGCGGGAGTCCTACCTGACCCGGCAAAAACATCAGCCATTGCGAACTTCCCAAGGCCGAAAGATAAGAAGGATGTACGCAGGTTTCTCGGACTGTGCGCATACTACCGGCGCTTCGTCGCAAACTTCGCACGCATTGCAGAGCCACTCACGCGCCTGACGAAACAAAGCACCCCTTTCAGCTGGGAAAACGACCAAGAAAAGGCATTCTGCGAGCTGCAACAACGCCTGCAAAACCCGCCCGTGCTCGCTCATTTCGATGAAAACGCCGAAACGGAAATGCACACGGACGCCAGTGATATCTGTTTCGGTGCCGTCCTCGTCCAAAAGCAAAGCGGTTACGAAAAGGTAATCGCCTATGCAAGCCGTGGTCTGTCGAAGGAGGAGAGAAACTACTCTGCCTCCGAGAAAGAGTGCCTGGCTATCATATGGGCCATTTCAAAATTTCGCCCATACGTCTATGGTAGACCGTTTAAGGTTGTGACAGACCATCATGCGCTGTGTTGGCTCGCCAAATTGAAGGACCCATCTGGCCGTCTTTGGCGGTGGAGCTTGCGCCTGCAAGAGTTTGACGTTACAATATTCTACAAATCCAGCAGGAAACACTCCGACGCCGACTGCCTGTCCCGCGCCCCCGTCGACCCACCACCACAGGACTCCGATGAAGACAGCGCGTTCTTCGGAGTCGTGACAGAGAGCGACCTAGCCGCCCAGCAGCGTGCCGACCCTGACCTCCGCGCCATGATTGACTACCTCGAAGGACGCAACGTCGCCGTGCCTAGGGCGTTCAAGCGCAACTTACCAGCATTCAGCCTCAAAAACTCCATCCTAGTGAAGAATTTACCCCCCGGAACGAGAACGAATTATGTACTTGTCATCCCCGCAGACCTTCGTGACGAAATTTTGGAAGCGTGCCACGACGACCCGTCTTCCGGACATCTCGGAACAGCTCGCACGATTACAAAAATCAAGGTGAAATACTTCTGGCCCCGCCTTACATCCGATGTCACCCACTACGTCCGGAGTTGCCGTGACTGCCAGCGACGAAAAACACCACCGACGAGACCAGCCGAACTTCTGCAGCCGATCGCCGTCCCAACGAGGCCCTTCCAACAGATCGGAATGGACCTTCTGGGCCCGTTCCCTACATCCCGATCCGCGAACAAATGGATTGTCGTAGCGACAGACTACATGACGCGCTACGCAGAGACCACCGCTCTTCCTAGGGGAACTGCACAGGAAGTTGCAAAGTTCTTTATTAACCAAATTGTGCTGCGACATGGAGCCCCTGAGGTCCTAATCACGGACCGCGTAACGACCTTCACTGCGGAGCTCATGCAAGGAATATTACGCTACAGCAACACAGATCACCGAAGAACGACGGCGTACCACCCCCAAACGAATGGACTAACGGAACGGCTCAATAAGACAATCGCGGATATGCTGTCTATGTACGTCGACGTTGAACATAAGACGTGGGACGAAGTCCTCCCGTACGTCACGTTTGCGTACAACACGGCTATTCAAGAAACCACGCAGATGACACCGTTCGAGCTCGTCTACGGAAGACGGCCGACTACGATGCTAGACGCCATGCTTCCACACGTAGAAGACGACGACCTCAACGCCGACGTCCAAGGATACCTCCAACGTGCGGAGGAGGCCTGCCAGCTCGCTCGAGCTCGTATAACGGACCAGCAACTGGTGGATGCCGGACGCTACAATCTCCGACGCCGAGACGCCGAGCACCATCCTGGAGATTGTGTGTGGGTTTGGACTCCCATTCAACGACGTGGACTCAGTGAGAAAGTTCTACGACGCTATTTCGGACCCTACCAGATTCTACGACGTGTTGGCGAACTAACGTACGAAGTGATCCCCGATGGGGACTCCCGTACATCACGACGACGCACGCGGCCCGAAGTCGTCCATGTGGCTCGCTTAAAACCTTTCTACGGACGATGACGAACTTTTAATTTGCGTGGACTGTCCCTTACGTTAGCATCGGGTCGATGCACTCTTAGAAGGAGGGTAATGCCGCGAACCATGCATTGGGTTTGTTTACTTGTGTTTTGTTTTTTCGGCCTGGCTGCGCCGGCCTGTTCTATCGCCGTTTTCACAGCGTTTCTAACAAACGCTACCACGGCGTTCCCGATACAATTAGACTATTCAAGAAACCCTCGCGCCGAAGGATATAAATTCCCGCACAGCCGATGCCGCGTCATTCGATCGCCGACGCTCACTAGCGCGCCCGTCGTTTTGCTGGCCGCTGCTTCGCCGCCTGTGTATTTTTTCAGTTATTAGGGGAGCACAGGTTCGCTCCAATAACCTTGTTTTCCTCACAGACAACTGCGTCGTCCTTTGCTGCGTGACAATATAGTGCTTATGGCCGACAACAAGGAAGGTTTGCAGAGATTGATGCACATCGGCGGTAATGAGGGAGATAGGTTATATTTCCGATTGAGTAAGGAAAAATCAGCAGTCATGATTTTTAATGATAATGATGGTAGTGAGCTAAGAATACAGAAGGTCACGCTAGAGATAACAGATAAATACAAATATCTGGGCGTATGAATAAGCAATGGGACCGAGTACCGAAGGGAACACGAAATATACGTGAGGACTAAAGGTAACAGAAATGCAGCAGTCATGAAAATAGGAAACTGCGGAATTACAATAGGTATGACGTTGTGAAAGGAATATGGAAAGGGATCATGGTTCCTGGTTTGACATTCGGCAATGTGGTCTTGTGCGTGAGATCAGAAGTTCAAGCAAGATTAGAAAGTAAGCAACGTGGAACAGGTAGGCTTGCTTTAGAAGCTCACGGGAATACACCAAATCAGGGAGTACAAGGTGATATGGGATGGACATCATTTGAGGGCAGGGAAGCAAGCAGAAAGATAAAGTTTGAGAAGCGATTCAGAGAAATGGAGTAGGAGCGTTGGGCTAGGAAGGTATTCAGCTACTTGTACATAAAGAATGTGAATGCAAAATGGTGGGAGCAAACCAGAAAATTAACGGGTAAATACTTATAGAGCAGCAGGGGGCAAACCAAAAAGAATTATCGGTTAAGAAGAGGGCGAAGGAAGCTGAGACCGATATGTGGAGAATCGGCATGATTAAGAAGTCCGCACTAGAGATCTATCCAACTTTGAAGTAGGAAATAGCCAAGGAAAAGATCTATAATAATACTCGGGGTAGTTCACTACTGTTTGAGGCCAGAATGAGAGTATTGCAAACCAAGACATAGCGATCCAAATACGAAGATCTACACACGCTATGCAGGGCGTGTGGAAAGGAGGAAGAAACTTCTCTACACCTGATAATGTTCTGTAAAGGGCTTCACCCTATAATTCGGGATGATGACTCAGATGTTTTAAAAGCAGTGGGGCTTAGGGACAGGGAGGGCAAAATAGACTTCAAGCGGGTAGAATTAAATAGAAGGAGGTTATCTGATTGGTGGCTAAAGTCAAGGCACGAGTGAAAATTAAACCCTTCACTACAAAGTACGAGTCTTCAACCTCACTATTTAAAGGGAAAAAATCTAGTTTTTGGTTCACTAAGTATTACGGCTTGGTGGCGTTAGCCACCAACCGATCTAAAGGGTACAGCCGTATCAATCCATCCATCCAACGGTGCTGGAATGTAAAGGAGCAACCCGGACAGTAGAGCTCCTTGTTACGTTTTGTAGCCTGTGAGCATTCCTTGGGGCGCTCAAAGAACACAAAAGCTTGTAACAGTTGTTAGCGTCGGCGGCTGGATAGCGGGATTAGGGTTGAACTTAGGGCTGTTGGGCGCTCGGTCCGATGGTTGGGCGGGCAATGGCTAAGGAGGCTGGGAAAACGACGGGCGAGACTGAGCTGGTGCAGTGCGAAGAGTGCAAGCGCTGGTGCTACTTGGACGAGACAGAATTCTTGAGTTTAGCCGACGCGCAGAAGGCGAGCTTCGTGAGCAGGCTGTGCGAGGCATTGAAGGCGGCTGTGCAGCGCATGGAGGATGGCATCGAGGGGCTTCAGGGGGAGCTTAGGGCGGAACGGGAGCAGAGGATAGAACTCCAAAAACAGCTTGAAGCGTCGCGTGAGTGGGAGGAGGCTACCGCCAGCGTATTAGAGCAAATAAAGGGCGACCTTCGAAAAGAACGGGAAGGGCGGACCGAGCTCGAACAGCGGGTAAAGGAGCTAATGGCGCTTTGCCCCGGCCGCCAGCGGTGTGAGACAGAAGGCGTGGGTAGCGGAGCAGGCGACAGGCGGGAAGGAACATGCCAGATGGCAGGTCAAGGGGTCGCAGTATCTGGCCACAGCACGCAGGCGCCGAGAGCATACAGCTCGATGGCGCGGCAGTCTGGCCACAGCACGGAGGCTCCGAGAACATACAGCTCGGTGGCGTGGCAGTCTTCGAGCAGGGCAGAAACACCGGACAGACGGCAGAGAGAGAAACAGGTGAAGCGAACAGGGGCGCTATCCCAAACAGGAAGCCAGCGATTGGAGCGTAGAAGGGTCTTAGGTGTGAGGGACTCTAACGTGACCAGGGTTAGGGATGGCGTCTTCACGACAGTGAAAGAAGGTGGGAGAGTAAGGGTGGAGGCTTGGTCAGGGAAGAGCATAGTGGGTGCACTGGCCAAAGCCCAGGAGGTTGTAGAGGACAGCATGGAGGGCGAAAACGTCGTCATTATTCATGCTGGGCACAATGATGTATTGAAGGGCAAGGATCAGAGCCTTCAGAGACAGTTAGAGGATGGGATGCGTAAGCTCCGAGAAGCCTCTGGGAGTGTGCATGTGACCATATGCACAGTTCCAGAGGTATGGGGGCAGTCTCGTGGGATTGAAAGGAGGGTAGTGAATGCCAACTGTGTGATCAGGGGTATGAGCCGGCAACTCGGATACAGCATAATGAAAGTGAACCAAGACGTGTACGAGCCCGGCGCTTGCCCCTTTGCACAGGATGGTATTCACTACAGTGGTGCGACTGGCAAGAGTGTCGCTAATAGGATGGGTTGTCAAGCCACAGCTTTTTTAGGGGGACCCGGATCTTTGAGGCCAACAGTGTAGCCAAAGACGGTTCTAAAGGCGCACAAATATTCAAGCCACACGGAGTCCGTGAGAGAATAAATCGACGTAAGCTAAGGTCCGAGCTAAGTCAGACACAGGCTATATTAACATGCAGGGTGGCAGGAATATGTTAAAGTGGGAAGAGATATATGAGCAGTTGATGCAGGAGGAGCTGATGGTATATGGGGTTGTGGAGACACATCTTCAGGACATGGAGCAACCACTTTGCAATCCGGACTACGTATGGAAATATTGCAATAGTACAGAAGGCAGCAAAAAGGGGGGGCGGAATGGGTGCATTGATACATAAAAGTATGGGTTGGCAAAGAGTCAAGCAGGGATCCACGGAACATTTATGGTTACGAGGGAAAGTAGCTGGGCAGATGGCACTCCTTGGTTTGGTGTACTTGTGGACGAGAGCAAAGGCCAGAGAGGAAAACCAGGCAATGGTGGAGTGTATATCAAAGGACATTGAGCAATTAGGAGTAGAGTGCGAGATAATTATACAAGGAGATATGAATGTGCACATAGAAGATATTGTCGCGAGGGTAAATGATAGACAGGTACTAGAAGTGTACGACTGTTAGCTCAGCCACAGCAGCCTTTCACTTCTACGCTCTCCTCTTCTTCCACCAACACAGCGTGGCATTACCCTCTCCCCAAAGTAAAAAAAAAGTAAGAAACATCGCATGAATGCCACGGCTCCAAAAATAACAAAAGGTAATAAGAAACGTCTGTGTCCATTGAGAAGAAAAAAAAAGACGAGATGAAAAGAAAGAAACGAGAAAGAAATGTACAATTGTGCTGAAGGCAAGTGCCCCATCACCAAGTTCTTGACTTGCAGTCAACGCGAATAGTAAGGCTTCATCCTGGAGACGTGAACCACATACGAGGGGCGTGGTTTACGAGAATGGTGCGACGTGTCTGCTGAGACAACTTCGTAGTTCACTTCCCCGAGGCGATGAAGAACTCGGTAGGGTCCGAAGTACCAACATAATTTTTCTGAGCGTCCACGTTGACGTATAGGAGTCCAAAACCAGACTAGATCACCGGGTTCGTATTTACTGCTCTGTGGTGGGTGTTGTACCGGCGAGCATCTTGATTTTGCCACGATAAAACGCGAAAGTGCGCTAGCTGCAGGGAGTCTTCTTCGGCACGCTGATCAAATACATCTGCGTCCGGGGTAATCATGTATGGCAGTGTTGGTTGGAGCATGGTGTCAAGCATTCTTGTGACGTCGCGGCCGTAAAACAAACGAAAAGGAGCAAAGCCGGTAGTTTCCTGCCGAGCCGTATTGTAGGCAAATGTCACATACGAGAGGATTTCATCCCAATTCTTCTGATCCTTGGCGACATACATCGAAAGCATATCTGCAATCGTTTTGGTAAAGCGTTCGGTTAACCCGTTAGTCTGCGGGTGGTACGCAGTTGCTATTCGGTGCGTCGTGCCGCTCAGCAACAGAATCTCCCGGAGCAACTGTGCCGTAAAAGCACTACCGCGATCGTTATGACGACATCGGTAGCACCGTGGTAAATAACAATGTTCTTGGTAAAAAAGCCAGCCACATCGGAAGCAGTTGCTCGCTGGGCGGCTCGTGTTTCGCAGTATCTGGTCAAGTAGTCGGTGACAACCACAATCCAGCGGTTACCAGCCGTATACTTCGGAAATGGGCCGAGTAAATCCATCCCGACCATTTCAAAAGGTGCGTGAGGAGGTTCAGCAGATCGGCGGGTTTCGTCGTTGCATTTTTGCTGTGCTGACCGCTGTGCATATCTTGACGTACTGCCGGGTGGTTTTCGTAAGTTTCCGCCAGTAGTATTTGCCCTTGATCCGTGCCCGAGTACGCGCGAAGCCAAGATGCCCTGACGATGGCTCATCGTGACAAGCACGCAAAATATCATAGCGGAGAGCTGCAGGAACGACGAGGAGGTAAACAGTTTTCGTGAGATGAAAGCTGCGCTTATAGTATTAAAGTTGCGCTTGTAGAGGATGTTTCGGCGTAGACAAATTGATGACAAATCACGCGCAAACTGACGTGGGGGTTGTGGGCGACGTCCCTCAAGGTGTTCGATCAGTGGTTGTAGTTCCAAGTCTTCGTGTTGCTGCTCAGTCACGTTTAATGATGCGAGAAAAGGAAGGCAGCTGGAGTCTTCATCCTTGTCTTCTGCAGCGATGTCGACGGGTGCGTGGGAAAGACAGTCAGCGTCAGTGTGTTTCTGGCCAGACTTGTAAACCATCTTTATATCGAATTCCTGTAACCAAAGGCTCCATCTTGCGATACGGCCCGAATGATCTTTCAGATTCGCTAGCCAGCAGAGAGAATGGTGGCCACTGACGATTCGGATGGGGCGTCCGTACAAGTAGGGCCTGAATTTCGTTATGACCCATACAACCGCCAGACATTTTTTTCAGTCGTCGAGTAGTTCTTCTCCGCAGATGACAACGTGCGGCTAGCGTAGACGATGACGCGTTTCACGCCATCTTAATATTGCACCAGAACAGCTCCGGGGCCAAGGTTGCGTCAATGCGTACTTCTGTGTCTGCTTCGGTGTCGAAGTGACCAAGGATCGGCGGCGTTCGTAGGCGTTGTTGAAGGTCGAGGGAAGCGTCCGATTGTTTCGGACCCCAGACGAAGACGACGTCGTCCTTGACGAGTTGTTGTAGAGGGTCGGCGATTTTCGAAAAATTTATCACGAAGCGGCGGTAATAAGCACAAAGGCCCAGAAAGCGGCGTACATCATGCTTTGTTCTTGGTATCGGGAACAAAGCAACTGCCATAGCTTTCTCAGGGTCGGGGTGAACACCACTACTGCTGACAATGTGGCCAAGATATTTGAGTTTCTCTTATGCGAAATAACACTTCTTTGGTTTCAGAGAGAGGCCGGCAGTGCGAATAGCCAAAAGAACCACCTCAAGCCGCTCAATGTGCTGTTCAAAAGTCGTAAAAAATGACTACGTCGTCTAAATACACTAAACAAGACTGCCACTTCAGGTCACATAAAAATGTGTCCATCATTCGTTGTAATGTGGCTGGAGCGGAGCACAGGCCAAAAGGGAGAACTTTAAATTCATTGAGACCATCAGGTGTAATAAACGCTGTTTTTTTCTCGATCCCGTTCATCTACTTCAATCTGCCAATACCCGCTACGGAGATCCATGGAAGAGAAGTAACGGGCGTGCCGCAGGCGATCCAAGGAGTCATCAATGCGAGGAAGAGGATATACATCTTTTTCTTTATCTTGTTCAGTTTGCGGTAGTCTACGCAGAATCATATTGAACCATCTTTCTTTTTAACCAGAACTGGTGACGCAAAAGGACTAGTCGATGGTTCAATTAAGTCGTCGTCGAGCATTTGTTTCACTTGATGGCGGATGGCATCCTGCTTCTTCTGCGACACGCAGTAAGCATGTTGGTGCACGGTTTGGACGCTGAGCTCAGTGATAATACCGTGCTTCATAAGAGGGGTTTGCGGGACTTTCGATGTAGTGGCGAAACAGTCACTAAAGGATGAGAGGAGACTAAGAAACCTTGCCCTCTTAGGTTCTAACTGACGATTGACGTTTAGGCGACTAGTTACGTCAGTATCACAGCTGCTCTCAGTCGAGATCGTCTTAATCAAAGGGAAGGCGTCCAAATCATTCAATGCCTCCAAGTAAGCTATGATTGTGCGTTTCGCAAAATGCCTGTATTCGCCACTGAAGTTCGTAACTAAAAGCGTAGTCTGGCCATTTCGGAGTTGAACAAGACTTCGAGCAATGGTGACTTCCCGATCAAGCAATAACGTAAGGTTACTTTCGGCGATGCCCGTAATTTACTGCTCCCGTGGACACTTAACAAGCACGAAGATACTACTGCGAGGTGGCAACGTGACGCAATCATCAACTACACGTAAGGCCACGCCACGATGTTCGTTCTCGATGTCGGAATCTTGAGTAACAGCAAAACTGATGAACAAACCACGCAGATTATTTATCACTCTATACTCTTGCAGAAAATCCATGCCCAAAATTCATCATCATCATCAGCCTGACTATGTCCACTGCAGGACAAAGACCTCTCCCATGTTCCCCCAGTCAAATCGGTCCTGTGCTTGCTGCTGCCAATTTACACCCGCAAACTTCTTAATCTCATCTGCCCACTTAACCTTCTGTCTCCTCTTAACCCGCTTGCCTTCTCTGGGAATCCAGTTAGTTACCCTTAATGACCAGCGGTTATCCTGTCTACACGCTACATGCCCGGCCCATGTCAATTTCCTCTTCTTGATTTCAACTATGATATCCTTAACCCCCGGCCGTTTGTTCTCAATTCCACTGTGCTCTCTTCTTGTCTCTTAAGGTTGCACCCACCGTTTTTCTTCCCATTGCTCGCTGCGTTGTCCACAATTTAAGCTGAACCCTTTTTGTAAGTCTCCAGGTTTCTGCTCCGTAGCTAAGTACCAGCAAGATGCAGCTGTTATATACCTTCCTCTTGAGGGATAGTGGCAATCTACCTGTCATGATTTGAGAGTGCTTGCCAAATGTGCTCCACCCCATTCTTATTTTTCTAGTTACTTAAATCTCGGCTCCGCGGTTTTTACCTACCCTAAGTAGACATAATATTTTACAACTTGAAGTGTACTATTGCCTATCTCGAAGCGCTGTTCTCTTCTGATGTTGTTGTACATTACTTTCGTTTTCTGCAGATTAAATTTAAGACCCACCTTCCTGCTCTCCTTGTCTAGCTCTGCAATCATGAGTTGCAATCCATCCCCTGAATTACTCAGCAATTCAATGTCATCGGCGAAGCGCAGGTTACTGAGGTACTCTCCAATAACTCTCACGCCTAACTGTTCCCATTCTATGCCTCTGAAAACCTCCTGTAACACGCGGTACATAGCATTGGGGAGACCAAAATTACCAGCCTAGAACAATTGCGCAGTACAAGAAATGACGCTACAAAAGCCGATGCACAAATCTCAAGCCTGGCGGTGCACCTTAGAATTC